GCCGTCTTCAAAATTTTAATTTGAGATATTTCTCACAGGTACCACATGGGACTTAGCATGGGAGCCAACAAACACCATTCTGTTCATGCCCCAGGGTGCTGGGTTATATGTCTGTGTTTTGTGGGTTAAAACCAATTGTTTGTCTGTATAATTGTATTTATTGCATAATTTTTATTAAATTGTAACTATGACTTATAATCTCTTTTGAGTTGAGTTAATTTCTCCTGGCGGTTTACCTTTAATGCAGCACACTCTGGTAGCTGTGCCCTCAATGAATTGTGTGCCACCCATGTGCAACTCGGGCTCAAAATCACAGAATAGTAGAATGGGTAAGTTTGAAAAAGACCATGGTCATTCTAGAGCACATTGCATAGGATTGTGTCCAGAAGGTTTTTGAATATCTCCAGTGACAGAGACTCCACAACCTTTCTGGGCAATCTGTTGCAGTGCTCAGTCATCTGCACAAGAAAGTTCCTGATCATATTCAGGTGGAACTTCCTGTGCATCAGTTTGTTCCTCATACCTCTTATTTGTTGCTTGGCACCACCAAGAAGAGCTTGTCTCCATCCTCTTGACACCCTGCCTTCAGATACTTATAGATATTGATGAGGTCCCCACTCAGTTATCTCTTCTTGGGGTTGAACAGGCCCAACTCTCTCAGCATTTCTTATAAGAGAGATGCTGAGATGCTCCAGCAGAGTAGTAGAGATGCTCATCTTCACAGCCCTTTGCTGGACCTGCTCCAGGAGCACCATGTCTCTCTCGAACTGAGGAGCCCAGAACTGGACACAGCACTCCAGATGTGGCCTCACTAGGGCTGAGTAGAGGGGCAGGTTCACCCCTCTCACCCCACTGTCAATGCTCTTCCTAATGCACCCCAGGACACCATTGGCGTTCTTGGCCACAAGGGCACGCTGCTGGCTCATGGGCAGCTTTTTGCCCAACAGGACACCCAGCTTCTTCCTGCATTTGACTTTGTTGAACTTAAGACAAGTAGGCCCACTGGACTTTGGTCTTGCTAATGGAAATGGTGCCAGAACTATTGCTGGGAAGGGTAAGGCACAACCAACTGGGGATTCAGTTATCAAATCCACAGGCAAACCCATCCATAGCAGGGTCGTGGGCAGGAAAGGAAGCATGCTCAGTGTCAACAATAGAGGCAAGACACATGTTAGCACAGAAATTTAATAGTATCCTCAAATGCTTCATCTGAACCTGTGGGAAGCAAGACCCTGACTTGTGCTTGACAGTGGATCCCTGCTTAAGCGAAGGAGATTCATGGAAAAGAGCTCACAGCCCCTCATCTGCAGCACAGAGAAACACAACAACCTGCCAGTGGCTGAGAGGGGAGGCCTACACTAGTGGAGTGGTGGCACTATAATCTCTAACAAAGACGTGTAAGAATTGCCCATAGGACTTTGTCTTCCCAGGGCGTTTCCTCAGCAGATGTGAGACCTAACAGAGTCTTCACTAGTCCAGTGACTATAAAAGCATAAGAGAAAATAAGAAAGAGCAGACTGCATCTAAACGAATGGGAAATTATGTGGAGGACAACCTTGAATCATAACCTTGGAGAGAAAAGTCTCACCAGTCGGGAGGCTGCAAGCAGAAAAACACAAATCTGTACAAATTTCTTGTATGAGGAGACAGACTGCAGTTCCTGCCCTCTACTACAGAAGAAACACCTGAATGAGAATCTGGTCAAGACATGAAATGTGTTCATACTCTAGAAATGACATCACAAACTTCCATACTGTGAAAACCAGTTTATAAGTTAAATTCATCTTGTAAGAATAAAACTATCTCTGCAGTAAACTGGTCTTCAGAATTTTAAACCCAAACAGTAGACAATATGTAAATATTATGATTAATCTGTGAAACTGGCTAATTAAAAAAAAAATAATAAAAAAAAAATTGGCAACTTATAGTTCTTTCATGAAATGACTGTGTTTAGGTATTTCAGAAAATAATGACCATTTTGAGTACAGCTTTTATATGCTCAGACAAACAAAGTCATTTGCTAAGTTACCAAATCAAAGTACATACCAAAACTTAACATTTCATCCAAATCACAGTTAGCTATTAGCTAGCCCACCATAAATCATCCCCAGTTGCCTGACTCTAAAACCCATGTAACTAACTCCCACAATCCAGGTGCAAGTTATCAGTAGATTAGAAAACTATGTTCTCTATGCTTCAGTTAATCTTTTGATTATTGTTTCTTCTTAGTCTTGCATGGCTAGCACATTCCAATCTTTATCAGTCCAGGGTGTTACCGGTGGGGCCTCACAGGCCTGGTCTTATACAGAAACCTTTGGCTAAACTACTGCTAATTCAGTAAGCATTGCAACAAGTCCCCCCTTTTGAGCATTCTTCAATCTTCAATTGCAAGGATGCTCAAATCATCTAAGTTGAAGTTTTGCGTTGATCAGAAGAGTCGCCATTAGGGAGGATGGCCTCTTTTCGGGTTACTGCCATAATGATTCGACGGGTGTGCTGCCCTTCTTTTACAATCAGTCCTAGAAGACACTTATATACAATCAAAGCAATAAGGATTATAATTCCAAACATTATAACATACTGAATAATTGAGGATAGCCATCCAGAGACATTTAAACCAAGGGAGCTGAATATTTCACCAATCCAATTATGCTCTGCATCCTTTTGTAAATTTTGCACATTTCCTTCAATTTGTTCTAACTGAGAAATATAATTTTCAACTTCATGTGTGACATTTGGAATGTGGATGCAGCAGTGTTCATCCCGTGCATGCAGGTAACCACAAACTCCATGTTCCTTTAATAGAATTAAATCTAATGCCATTCGGTTTTGTATAGTCATGCGAGTAGTCGCCTGTAATTGGATATTCATGTCTTTAAATCCCTTTTTGGTAGCCACTGCCAATCTTTCTGTTTGACTCATCAATTTGAACAGCATCTCTCTATTACGATAAGATGCAATTGGTGCAAACAAGGACTCTAATGCCCATCCAAATTTAACTCCAGATGATGGGTCATGCCACTCATCTGGGTTTTGCTCTGAGGCCCTTTTTTGCCTAGGTTGAATATCTGTAGTGGTCAATTCCTCTGTTTTCCAATAAGGGCATAGCGTAGGAACTCCTAAGGTGATTTGTGTTGCAGGGCCATCTACAGGCATATGAGTGGTCCATTGTCCATGTCCCATTACCCAAACTAGATTTCCTGGGCTGCTCACAGTGGTGGTAAGACAATCAACACTACGTGAGCTATTATAACCTATTATGGAGTGATTGTATCCCCGGCACTCACAACCCAATCTTAACAGAATTCGTACTGGGATTAAACCTACGTCACCATTGGGAGTGTCACATGTATAAATTCGAGTGCAATTCCATAAATCCGTAGGTGAGAGTATTTGCCGCCACTGTTTGTGTTTTGAATGTAGAAAAGAGTAATTTTGGTTTTTGGAACCTACCCAATGAATGCACCATTGCACTTTCCCTAAATAGCTGTAGGTTTCTAATAGACTTGGTCCCCAAATTGTTTGCCATTTTTCTAAGGTAGCAGGAGTAGTTTTATTTTGGCATGCTTGTTCTACTTTTTCCTCATCCATTTGGACCCGTACCCTCACACAGGTGTCTGTATTACTAATAGAGGGGGAAACTATACATTGTCCTGACAGGCCATATATACTTCCATCTATCCACTTGAGGAATCCTGGCAATTGTTCACATTGCTTTCGGGTTTTAACACTTCCATAGAGACACCCATCTATTGTTTCTGGGTGGGGTTTGGTTAGAAACTTACAACTCCACGTGGTATTAACAAATAGTCTCGGGAGTTCCGGAACCGGTATTATTCCCCACGGAATCGGATCCCCAGCTGCGTGTGGTAGTGGGAGGCATGCAGTAATCCTAGAGACATTTTGAACTATTCCAAAATCTCTAATTAGTCCGACTATTAAATTTTCTTGCTTAGTTCCTGTATAGGAAATGTGTGGGATTCGTGGAACCTGTGATGTATAGGTCTGTCAAGTCATTCGCACAGTTTTTACATAAACAGAGGTCACTCCTGTCCCCCACCAGTCATCTTTACTTATCCAGCAAATGTATTGTCCTTCATCCTGCCCTCTTTTTGTCTGTTGAATTGTTAAAGCAATACTTTGTGGCCCCTGCTCAATGTGATATTTAGAATCATTCTGTAAATTATAACCTTTGAACCACCAACCATAATTCGAGAAAAGCTGTCTCTGAATTTTGCAACTCAGGGTAATATTCCCTCCTTCTGCCATGGTATAACTTTCTTGTTCTGGTTGGATTTCCTGTCCATGATATGGCACACTTCTAACTGTCCTTATTCCATAATTTCCTTCCTCTTCACAAGAGACAACACATACAAAGGTACTTTCTGTCTCTCCTACCTCCGGATTCGAAATATTTAACCAACCTCTTCCTTCATCCTCGTCAGACCACCAGCTAACTCCCTTAGTTTGCCTTTCCCACATTCCAGTTGTCATGTTTATTTTCCATCATTTAAGGTCAAGGGTCTCATAGCATGGATAACCTAATTTAAAAGCGCAATCAATCCGTAGAGGAGGACCATACCATATGTCAACTTGCTGATGAGGGGGTATTTGTATAACTGACTTCCTATTATGTGTGGAATTAAACGTATGTATTCTCGCATACTCATAATCAAAACTCATTCGAACCCACACTATGCAAGAATACATACCATCAACCTCAGGAGTCACAGTGAGTACCTGCAAGACGGTATAGCCCTCTTGCTGCGTCCTGTTCCATACCGTGGTCACACCTTCAGTTATATCATGGTCCTGATCCATCCATCGCCACCAAACATGCACATCATCCCATTCAGCTTCCCGGTTATCAGAAAACAAACAGGTCAGATTTACACTTGTTCCTTCAGGCACTAGAACGAAAGGGTTAGACACGGTAATTGTAACACCTGCATCAGTGGTACCTATTAACAGTAACAGAATTACTATTCGCACTATGAGCTTTATTGGACCGCCCAGAACACCGTTCTGGTCGGCGTGATGGATTCTGCAACCCACTGCGCGGGGACCTTCTTGACCCTCGTGTAGTGAATCCAGGTGTCGATGCCTTCGACCTTGACTGCTGTATAGGTTGTCATCAACACCTGGCGGGGGCCGTCCCATGTTTCCTTCAATGGTTCTACCGACCAATTCTTCACGTAGACCTGATCTCCTGGAGAGATGTCATGCACTGGGTTCTCCAGAGGTAAAGGCCGATTCCACTGTAAGGCTCCCCGGAGCGCTACAAGGGTCTTATTTAGAGATAAGATATAGTTAAACACAGCTTGGTCTCCCACTACATGAGGGTCACCCTGATATGTTGCAGCATGGTATGGTTTTCCGTACAAAATCTCATATGGGCTTACCCCAGTTCTTTCCCTGGGTTTAATCCTAATTCTCAACAGAGCAAGAGGCAAAGCTTGGGGCCACTGAATTTTTGCTTCTTGACAAATTTTCTTCAATTGGTTTTTCAGGGTCTGATTCATCCTGTCCACCTGCCCACTAGATTGTGGTCTCCACGGGGTGTGGAGATTCCATACTATTCCTAACACTGTGGCTAAGTCCTGTACAACCCCTGCAATAAAGTGTGGCCCTCTGTCTGAAGACAATCCTAATGGTACTCCAAACCTCGGAATGATTTCTTTCAAAAGAGTCTTCACTACTTCCTTTGCCTGGTTAGTTCTACATGGAAAAGCTTCTGGTCACCCCGAAAAAGTACACACATACACCAGTAAATATTTGTATGTCTGAGCCTTTGGCAATTCTGAAAAGTCTACCTGCCAGTAATCTCCTGAAAGTTGTCCAATTTGAAGCTTTCCCATTTGTACTTGTTTCCTCACTATTGGATTTTTTTTAATACATGCTGGGCATGTCGCATTCACCCTCTTAGCCAGTGTTAACATCTGATTTGAGAAAATTTTATTTCTCAGAAATTTAACCATTGCTTCTGCACCCCAGTGGCACTTACCATGTTCGATTTCAAGCACCGTTTTCATTATTCTGACTGGTAGTATTACCTGTCCAGTAGAGGTAATATACCACCCTTTTACATTTTTCTTTGCTTCCATCATGCGGGCCAACTTTTCATCTTGTGGTGTGTAATGGGGTTTTTCTTCCATGTGTACTGCTGCAGGATTATCACGAGTTGGTAACAAAGCCATTTGAGTCCATATCTGTGTAGCTGCTCGTCGTGCCGCTTGGTCTGCCAATCTATTTCCTTGAGATTCTGGTTCCGCATTGATTTGGTGCCCCTTCACATGCATTATGGCTACAGCTGACGGTTTGTGTATTGCTTCTAGTAGCTGAAGAATTTCCTCCCGATGTTTAATTGCTGTCCCTTGTGAAGTAAGCAACCCTCTTTCCTTCCACAATGCCCCGTGTACGTGGACTACTCCAAAAGCATACTTTGAGTCAGCCCAGATATTAACTCTCTTTTCTTGGCTCAGGATTAGGGCTCTTACTAATGCCCATATTTCAGCTTTTTGTGCTGATGTTCCCGGGGGTAATGCTTTTGCCTCCACAATCTCCTGTAGGGTTACCACCGCGTACCCTGCATACCTGGTGCCGTTTTCCACGAAGCTTGATCCATCTGTAAACAGTTCCCAGTCCGGGTTCTCCAGTGGTTCATCCTTCAAGTCCTTTCGACTGGCATAGACATGCTCGATTGTCTCCATGCAGTCATGTTCCAGGACTCCCTCTTCCTGGGAGGACCTGAGAAACTCAGTTGGATTGAGATGGTTAGTAACTTTTAATTCAATGTCATCCTGTTCCCTGAGCAGGGCCTGGTATTGTAACATTCTGCTGGAGGAGAGCCAATGCCCCCCTTTCTGTTCCAGGACTGCTATGACCATATGTGGCACTTAAACTGTAATATGCCTTCCCAGAGTCAGTTTACGTGCTTCCTGGATCAATATCACCGTTGCTGCCACCGCTCTGAGGCACCCAGGCCAACCCTCACTTACAGTGTCCAGTTGCTTTGAAAAGTAACCAACGGGTCTCTTCCAGGATCCCAATCGTTGCGTGAGTACCCCCAGAGCCAACCGTTGTCTTTCGCAGACATACAGCTGGAAATCTTTTGTTATGTCAGGCAGTCCCAAAGCAGGTGCTTCCCGCAGGGCTTTCTTTAAGTCCTGGAAGGCCTTCTCCTGTGCCGGTCTCCAAACTAGCTGCGGCTCCTTCACTGCTTCATACAGTGGTCTAGCGAGGAGTCCGAAATCAGGAATCCATAGTCGGCACAAGCCAACCATTCCTAGAAAAGATCTCAATTCCTGATTATTCCGTGGGACCGGGATAGCACAGATGGCTTTTACTCTGTTTGCGCCTAATCGCCGAACTCCTTGGGAAATTTCGCAGCCCAAGTAGATAACTTTTTGTTTAACTAGTTGGACCTTTTCCTTTGAAACTCGGTAACCTGCTTGGCCCAGCATGTTTAACAGTTCAATGGTTAGCTTGCAACACAGGTCTCATCCTTCCGTACCCAGAAGGATGTCATCTACATATTGCAATACTATGTAGGAAAAAGGAGAGTCTTTTACCTGTGATGTCTTCCATTCCTCAAGTTCCTTCGCTAGCTGATTACCAAATATTGTAGGCGAAGATTTAAAACCCTGTGGTAGACGCGTCCAGGTTAGCTGTCTTTTCCTCCCCGTGTTGGGATCTTCCCACTCCAAGGCGAAAAGGTGCCAGCTTTCCGGTGCCAATGGTATGCAGAAGAATGCATCTTTCAAATCTATCACTGAAAACCACTGAAATTTCTCAGAAACAGATGTTAACAAGGTATATGGATTTGCAACCACCGGGTGAATGTCCTTAGTTAAGAGATTGACTGCTCTTAGATCTTGTACTAACCTGAATTTCCCGTTTGGTTTCCTGACTGGAAAGATTGGTGTATTAAATTCTGATTCACACTCTTTTAATATTCCAAGAACTACAAATTGCTTAATCAAAGGCGCTACCCCCCTTCTCGCTTCTAAACTAATTGGGTATTGTTTAATTCGCACTGGCTGTGCTCCCTCTTTAAGTTCTACCACTACTGGAGCTGCTGCTTTGGAAAATCCCGGCACCCGTCTCCCACACCCAAGGGACAACTGCATGTTCTATTTCCTGAGGAATTGCTTCAGTTTCTATTTCATTTACAGCAAATATTTGTGCCACATTTTCTTCCGGGATTTCTAGTTTGACCCTTCCTTTTTCAAACACAATAGTAGCTTGTAAGAAGGACAATAAATCTCTACCTAGCAAACACTCTGGGCTATTAGGCATATAAAGAAATTGGTGATCCAATTGTTTCCCTCTAAATTTGATATCCAGTGGCCTCAAGAATGCTCGTTCCTCTGTTTGCCCCGATACACCCACAACACGGACAGTTGAATTACTTAAAGGACCCATTAACCAATTCATTGCTGAAAAACTAGCTCCCGTATCTATGCGAAATTCCATCGGTTCTCCCTCTATTTCCAGGACAACCTTTAGGTCCCGATCTAGTCAGCTGTGATTTTGATAGTTTTGCAACATAAATGCTTGAGCGACACCTTGTGGCGTCCCATTACCCACACCCTGCATGTTCCCGACAAACGGATTCATTCCTACCCCCGCATTCATGGGGCACTCATTTTTCCAATGTCCCTGACCCTTGCATAATGCACACTGATTTAACCCTATCTTTCCACGTCCACCCTGGAATCCAAGTCCACTCTGGTTATTAAAACCTCTCCCAATTCCTCTGCCTCTGTTTCCACGTCCTCTCCCCCTATTTCCTCTATTATAGTTTCCTCCGGCTGCCTGCAAAATTGTTAACATGCTCGCTTGCTGCTTCTTTGTTTGCTCCTTTTCACGATTATTGTACACCTTCCAAGCCACTTCTAACAATTTTTCTAAGTTCCACGTCTCTTCGCCTTCTAATTTCTGCAACTTCTTTCTAATATCTTCTTGAGACTGTCCCATGAAAATCAAAGCAAGCTGTAACTTCCCTGACTCTGCCTCTACATCCAAATCTGTATATTTTCGAGCCGTCTCCTTCAGTCTTTCTAGGAAAGCTGAGGGAGATTCCCCCTTATCCTGCCGCATGGAATATAGCTTAGACCAGTTTAAAGTCTTTGGGATTCCGCTCCGTATTCCTTCTACCAACAAATCTTGATAAACTTTTAACCTATGATAGTCGCCCGCTGCATTTGGATTCCATTCGGGGTCCTCCCGAGGTACTAAATCATTCACTGTCCCCTGGCCAGGCTGCGCGCGAATCTTTTCTCTAGCTCTCTCAACCATTACTCGCAATACCATCTCTTTTTCAGTAGAATCTAGGATTGTATCCAATAAAACTTGCAAATCATTCCAGTCCGGATTCTGAGTTTTTATAACCATTTTAACAACACGCGCCACACGCTCAGGATTTTCTCTATACGCCCCTGCTGATTGCTTCCAAATTAATAAATCATTTGGCGAAAAAGGTACTTTTACCATGACCCGCGCTCCTCCTGCCCCAATTGCCTCTCGCAGAGGGACCATCAATTTCGGGGGTGAGGGCGACACAGCCCTTCCCTCGCTTCCATGTCTCCGCTCCCGACTCCTTCCCCGTTCTTTCCTTCCTCTACGAGTCTGTCCCGCTAGCGGAGTCCTATCAATGTGCTCCTTTTCCTCCTCATCCGAGGATGATGGGGGCATAGGTGGGGACGAATCTCGCCTACGTGAGGGGGCTGCTCTCAATGGGGGCGCGGTAGGGGTGGGGGCTGCTCTCAATGGGGGCGCGGTAGGGGTGGGGGCTGCTCTCAGTGGGGGCGCGGTAGGGGTAAGGCTCGGAGAGACTAACAAAGCAACATCTTCCTCCGGTTCAGTAAACCGTGCCTTTCGCTCTTTACACCCCGCACATTCATCATTCGATGCTTTTAACACCAACACACCACAATCATTCTGCCACTCAGGTTTACGTCTCAGATAATAAAATAAATCTAAATATGGTATTTCGTCCCATTTCTCATTGTCTTTTAAATATTGCAGTAAAGGAGACATTAATGTCATAGTGCCGTTTCTTGGCCACTGCATCCCTTCAGTATCATACTGGGGCCACACATTATTACAATAGTCAATTAGCTGCTTTTTACTTAGTTCTTGCCCAAAGTTCCCCTCCTTCCAGTGCTTTAGTATGCAACCGAGTGGAGAATCATCAGGAATATTAGTTTCAGTACAAGACAATGCTCTAAAGGTTTTAAAAGGCATCATACCCACAATAACACAACACACTCACAGAAACAACAGATACTACGAGTAATAAAATGCCACAAGCAGTTAAATACCACGAACAGTTACGTAACTTGTTTCCACAACCAATTTGCCGAATAACACTGTATGGCAAATGCTGGCTCAGCGCAGCTTTCGCCGCGTCTTACGGCCAGCGCCTAGGCTTCCCCGAAATACCTCTCGCAGCCCAACCCAGCGAGTATACACAAACCCGTCTTATAGGCAGGCTATAACTACTAAAAAAAAATAAATCACCTTCGGGCTGACCTGAAATGGTTGTCCGACAGGCGCGGGGTCGGGTACGGAATGATGTCTCCCCAGGAATTCATCTGGCTGTAGGCATGGAGCAGATCGCTCGTGCGCGGCCCTGGCGACCCTCGGTGTCCCATCTGGGTCGCCAAGAAGACTGTTGCCCGTTACAGTAAAGGAACACAAACCAACAGAGTGTTAGTTTATGCCGGTGCTTTATTTGGGCCCGGGGACCTGGGGGCTAACGTCCCAAAGTCAGAATCCCAAAAGACTCTCATTTTGAGTACAGCTTTTATATGCTTCAGACAAACAAAGTCATTTGCTAAGTTACCACATCAAAGTACATACCAAAACTTAATATTTCATCCAAATCACAATTAGCTATTAGCTAGCCCACCATAAATCATCCCCAGTTGCCTGACTCTAAAACCCATGTAACTAACTCCCACAATCCAGGTGCAAGTTATCAGTAGATTAGAAAACTATGTTCTCTATGCTTCAGTTAATCTTTTGATTATTGTTTCTTCTTAGTCTTGCATGGCTAGCACATTCCAATCTTTATCAGTCCAGGATGTTACCAGTGGGGCCTCACAGGCCTGGTCTTATACAGAAACCTTTGGCTAAACTACTGCTAATTCAGTAAGCATTGCAACAATTTCATTACACCACTGGACTGCGTCCTTTACTTGCATTTCACAAAATGTCACCTATTGTCTACTTATGGAGGCACTGAGAAGCTGATTAAGAGGAAGCAAATGTAAGAAAATTCTCCCTTGTGTGTGCATTGAGGATAAATATGTTATAATGATTAAAGCACATATGACTACTGGCCATGGTGACCGCAACTGTGTCATGAAACACTTGTCATTTAAGTATGTAGATATCACCAGAGATGTTGTTGAGCACTTCAAAACCTTCTGTGTAATGTACCAAGAAAAGAGAAGGCACTACTTGGGATGGTTTGCTGTCTGATCTACTCTGAACAAGAAACACAGCACAAGAGCAAATTGACTTTATCAATATGCAATCCATATGTCTAGGCAGCTTGAAGTGGATAATGATGTACTGAGACTGCATCACCAAACTTCGTGTTCTTCATCTTCAAAAAAAGCAGTAGGTGAGGTGACTGTACAGCTTCTTGACATCTTTCTCACTTTTGAAGGCCCTGTTGTATTGCAGAGTCATGAAGGAACATAATTCATTACTCAAGTCATGAAAGAACTGAAGTATTTGTGGTCTTGGCTCAGCTTTGGACATGGAAAACCAGGACACTCTCAAAGGAAAGAACTAGTAGAGCATTCAAGCTGCATATTATGGAGATGCTAGTAGAGTGAATGGCAGACAATAATTCATGGGACCAGTCTATAGGAATATGCTTTATGAAGTTTGCTAAAAATTCAGCTCACCACTCAGAAATAAAATGTGCACAGTACTCAGCTCTGCTTGGAACCTATCCCAAGTGCAGGCTTACATCAACCTCTCTTCCTTTGGATATCATCCACTACTTAATGGCAAAATCAAAGGGTCAACAGCCCTCATCACCATTGACTCAATCATGAAAATAATTGTGAGCTCAGTGGAAAAACGCTGTTTGGTATTTTCGACAGAAACTTACAACTTTAGCTTACATTGTTTTTAGTGAATTTGCATATACAAGTTTATGTAACAAGTTTTTCAAAATATTAACTTTAAAAAATGAGAGACAATGGTTCATTGATTTACCAGTCTACATAAAAAAGATAAAGAAGGGATGAGGAAAGGAAACTGTTGGGGTTTTTGTGGAAACTGGAACAACCTCAGCCTACCAATACTAAGCCCCTCTTCCTCCCTACCAGTGCTTACTAATTTCCATGACAATATAGAATCATGATATTGTTTATGTCTCCTTGCCATAATGGAGTTAGAAACTGATAGACTTTGTGTTTGTATTGACTTTATTATAAATGCCTTTTAGTGCATGAATTTAATCTCATTAGGGAGCAGAGTTAATTAGCAGAGTTGTTTCTCATTACAATTGTAACATATATATATGCAGAGACTTTTTAGCTCTGCTATCTTCTCTGTATGCACTATTGTAATAAATAAAGAGGCACTCTTACTGTAGCACTGCTCTGATATTCAAGAATATGCTTCTTTCAGGGCTACTGAATGGTTATTGCACACTTCTCATGCACTTTACTTTGTCTCAACAACAACCAATCTGGAAACTGACTCACAAATAAAATAATGAAAAATGATCACACATGAAAGTGGAGTTCTCATTCCATCTGCCACTAGCAGGAGACTGCAATCTGAGCTGATACCTCTTTTGCTGAGTTGTATTAATGTTCAGTGGACTAAGAATTTTGAAAGGCTGAGCCTTCTCTGCTGTTTCTTCAGAGTTAGAGCTCTTTGTAATGCAGCAGTAGGGTTTTTACAGTAAAGAAGGATGGCAAACACCAACAGCAAACTTAACACCCCAATGAATGTGAAGAACAAGAAGCTCAAAATTACAAGAATAAGTGAAGAATGTGACAAGTGAGATTAGACAGTAAGCAGTTAGTTCTCAGAGAAATAAGTAAAGCCAAGCTGTGAGACAAATAAGAATCTGCAAGAAAAATCTCAACTGTTC